TTTTTTTTTTTTTTTTTTTTTTTTTTTTTTTTTTTTTTTGCGTTGGGACCTTCCCTGGTCCTTGCACGGGCTGGCCACCCGGGACCCAGGCGGCCCGGCTGGTAGCCTAGGAAAAGGGACAATGAATTTCGAATAAAAATATTAATTCCGACTTGAATTAATTGAATTTATTCAAAAATAATTGATGTGTTCGAAAATCCATGTGTCATGAAAACTTTTTTAAAAAAAATAGTTAACGCTAAAGTATTTTCGAATTACAAAAAAATCAAAAAAGAATTAATTAAAATTATTTTTGAACTTCGAAAAAGAAATGTCGAAAAAGAAATAATTTCGAATGAGAAAATTTTCAAAACAGAATTATTTTAAAGTATTTTCAATTTTTGAAAAACAAATATCGATTTGTTTTTTTAATTAATTGTAAAGTATTTTTGAATTAAAATTTTCAAAAAAGTATAAATTAAAAATGTTTTCAAATTACAAAAAAAGGAATTTGCAATCAAACTCGCTTTCTTTCACACTTCACATGCATGTAAACAGGTCGCACAGCAAACCGGCGACAAGCGCCCACTCAAAGCTCAGAGATATGGTAACCCAGAACACAGTTCAGATACAAGCTCGCTTCAAATGGCTATGGCGCGTCAGCGGCTGTACAACTCTCTGTTCGTCACTGCGCCCTACTCTGCTGTTCACACACACTCAACTTAGGATCACCCTGGATATCCCACACACGACACACTGTACACACACGCACACATACACTACACCCTTCTTCCAGCTATGGCGGCTATGGCCACTACTACCTCTACCGCTATGGCTAAACTCTCCTTCTCGCCCACTTCGTCTTCGGGCATACTGCAGACAACCTCGCACAAGTCGCTGTAGCAGCGCTTCCGCATGGCTTACGTAGGAATGAATGAATGGATGGGCGCTGCCTCTTGATTTATACTTCTATAACTCGTTGGTCTGCCCCTTTCCCATGCCCGTGGTGCACACTGTCCCATACGACACTTGCTTGATTGGACTAGGACGGACTGGGACTAGTACCGCTGACTCAGCAAGGGTGGACTCCACCACTTGCCCACTTGCCTCTCTCTAGACGTGAGCCAACTTCGAAAGGCCACTACTGGGACCTTTCGGAAGTCTGTAGTCCAGGCCTTTCTAATACTGTAGCAGTTACGGCCTTGACCTTTCATAAGTCCTAGAGCTACGACTTCTAGAACTCCTTATGACCTCTATCCGACAGGTCTACAAATCGAACCCCTACAACCTACGGACCCTAAGACAGTCTACCAACTGTTACAATACACAGGTCACGGGTTCAACTCTCGGGGTCGACGCAGGTAATGTACACAGGTAAGGTAAAGTCTAGGGATCGAGCCCTGGGATCTGCATTCGCTACTGCTAGCAGGTGAATACCGTTTCACTCCCGCCGACATTTCGAGGTCCTCCGGGAATAATTCAGTCCAAAGCAGGACCTTTACCTTTCTTATCTCTCTCGTAGGCTCTAACTATGTCGGGAGTTGTTTCTAGAAGTTCAGTTCTAGTAAACCAGCTATCGTCCTCTGGTTCCTGATAAGCAAACCAGACTTTATACTGTTTCTGTGGACGACCTCTACCTCCTGTTCTAAACACATCTTCACCTACAATGCCGTCAATGTCGTACCTTCAGTCCATGTCTGGGGGGACCATGGATCTTCTAGATAGAAACTGTTGACTTGTGACTCATGGCAACAACTTTGACGCATGAAACACGGGGTAGGTGTGGAGGTGTGTTGGGATCTCTATTGTGTAGGACGGTCCATCCTTTCCGCCCTTAACTTCTAGAACTGGCCACGGTCCTCTATAAGCGGGCAGTAACTTCGGTGAGATGTTTTCCTCAGGAGCAGACTCTTTGGATTTGACCCAGACCAGGTCGCCTACTTGAAACTGTGACCGGTGACGGTGCTTGTTAGCGTGTTCTATCATTCGGTGTTGGGCCTTCCTGAGGTTCTCTACAACGGTAGCTAACTCCTTCTCGTGCTGTATCGCAAACTCTCTGGTACCGGGCGGTACCTGTGAATCTGGTCCCGGTTAAGTCCCTCAAACGGTCTGCGCGGTCTAAAGGACTTGTGGCTAATGCACGCTGTTATTATAGGCACTGGCTACCTTGGGCAACATCTCATCCCAATTGACTTGATCGGGTCTAATGTACATATGCAGAACTTGTTGAAGGATCTTATTCATTTATTTGGTCTGATCGTTAGTCTCGGGGTGCCGGCCAGACGACATAAGCAACTTTCACCCATAGGCTTTCATGAGTTCCTTCCAGTTTTGACTAGTGAACCGGGTGTCTCTATCGCTAACTATAGACAACGGAATCCCGTGATCACTAACCCAATGGTCAAAAAACTTCTGAATGACTAATTCAGTGCGTGCCTCTACAGGCAAGGGAACAAAAACTGCATATTTGCTAAATCTATCGACTATGACCATGACTTGGCTGTTGTCGTGCCTACTCTTGACACCAGCGTCTATGAAGTCAATGGAGACTGAATTTCCAGGTTGGTCAGGAATGGGCAAGGGTCGAAGAAGACCTAGAGTGGCACGTGTAGTTGTCTTATATCTTTGGCAAACTTTACAATTGCGAAAATACTCTATGTAGTCAACTTTCATTCCCGGCCATGTATACGCATGCATCAGGTTGGCGAGAGTCCTTTGCCAACCGAAATGTCCCTCTGTATCGTGACATTCCCCTAAGATCAAACTGCGGATCTCCTCACTATTGGGAACACAC